CCCGCCTTCCCGCCTTCCACCCGCCGCCCCGACTACCCCCGCCGGGCTCTCACGACGTCTTATACGCTTCCCGCCCTCCTCCGCCCGCTGGGAGGGACGATGACAGTGTATATCTCCCCTTCCCGTGGTCGTATCAAGGTCGGGTTTTCTTCTACGTACTATATATTACAATTAGAATAGTTTTTACTTATATATGCTGGTAATACACTCTATTATAAGGGGTGCATGGCGAGAAAGGGACCACGTGGCTAGGGGACTTGTGCAAATTTTGAGCGACGTCGGCAAAAGGGCCGGATGGCTGTGTTTGACACGTGGGGAAGATGTCATTAACTGCGGGGAAGCGCGGAGGTACTGTTTTCCCGGTTTCCACGTGTTGGCAAGGGCCGGCCGATAACCGGGCTGACGCGTCAACATCAACAACGCGTGTTTCGCACGCACGTGACGGCGCTTGCCTCCTCTCTGCCTCGAGGTTGTCTGCCCTATTCCCCTCCCCCTTGTCTTCTGCTCGCCCTGGCAGGCTCTTTTCCTCTCTTAAACTGCCATGGGTCCGACTCGCAGCAATCAGGGCACCTCGCGCTCTGTCCGTGTCGCTATCGGCAATCCTCGCGGCGGCGGTGGACTGCTAGAGTCTCAGGTTTTCAGTCAGCGGCAAGCAGCGAAGGAGCGCCTCAAATATGAGGCGCTGCTGCGTTCGAACAAGCAAGGTAAGCTATACAACTCATCTAGAATCCTTTCTCACTTCTGTGCTTCAGGCCTGGGCTCGCGATCTCTCAAGATGTTCGCAGATGCCACTCACGACGACAGCTTCGACGACAATGACTCAATGGCGGTGGATAACGACTTCGAGGCTCAGGGCGCTGGGGAATGGGTGGACGATGAGGAGGATCGGGTGGATGACGATTTCATGAACGCTGTACATGAGGCTGCTCGAAACAAGTGCGTCCATCAATACTCAATTTTAACCACTGACTTGAACCATTTTTCGTCTTTTATTCCTTCATTTCTATAGACTTGGCTCAAGCAGAGACTATCGCACCTGGCGCCAGCGTCTCGAACGCGTTCAACAGACCCTCCTCCCTCTCCTCCCTGCCATGGCATCTGCATATCTGAGATGGCAATACCCAACCCCTCCTGACACTCCCCTCCCCTGTCGCGACCAGAGTTCTCCCTGTGAGACTCCCTCTGGAACTCCCACTGCACCCTCTGTCGCTGTCGATACATCCACCAACCCTCCTGCGTCATCCTTAGGCTCCGGCTCCCCTCCTCCCTCTCCCGAGGTGTCCTCTGCCTCCGGCACGCCCTCTGTCCCTCCTGAGGCACAATCGTCTCAGCACATCCCGGCATCAGACTGGTCCTTCAACATGTTCATCATCGACATTTACGCTCTCGAGACCCGCGCCACCATCCCTCGTGACGAGACCACGTCAGTATCTGAAGCTCTTGTCGCGGCCGGTTACATTGGAGCAACACCCTCATCCCCTTCTGTCGCCTTCTTGATTCGCACGCTGGAGCTGTATCGAAGGCTTCGCCTACGCAAAGCTTCGCTGAGCGTTGAGGCGTTCGCAAAGGTTGTTTGCGACCTTTATCAGGTACGTATAGCTTCTACATCTCATACATGAGCTAATGGTTTCTTAGTGGCCTTACCACCGGCGGTATCGAACGGCCCTGTCAGGGGCGTTCGAGACCTATCTTCTGATCCGCCGTCACGTCGATCGTGATGTTCAGAAGGCACTCGGTCGCGACGGAGAAGACTGGCGGGCGCTGTATAGCTGCCCACCGTGCGGCTATGAGGTATGTGTCATTCTCTATATTACTTGTACATGTTATAATGGCAATTTATTCCCCAGCTGGAGGATGAGCCCGAGCTCAAGTATCGTCGGATGCTCGCGATGGACGGCAACAACTCGCTCTCGCGCATGGCCGCCTTCGGGACCCGACAAGCCGGCGATCTCAGAGAATTCTCAAGCGACTACTTCCTCACCTCCGAGTATGTCAACCGATTTGCTGGTGAAGTCGGCAAACCTCCTGCGACCAAGTCTTCGGCTGACGGTGATACCACGGCCGGCGACGTCTCTTCCTGCACCGCCAACTGGAAGGCCGCTGCGGCTGATGCCAAGAAGCGCAGCTGGGGGATCTTCGATGAGACTGGAGTATTTGTTAGCGCCTGTCGCCACGGGATGATCATGTGGATCATCGACATGGTTCGCAGCGGAGAACTGTATGTGTACCACTAGCTGTATATCACACGTGTAAACTCATCAACTGTACAATGAAGTTTCAAATACCCGCTAGCGACCGTCAGCAAGGCCCTCGACGTCCTCGGTGATCGGCTGATCTTTGGTTATGATGTCGGTTGCAATCTCGGCGGCACTATTACCCGCAGCTCCCTTGCTTCTCGGTTTGCCGCGTCCAAGTCCTGCGTATGCGTGGACGCCTTCCACGGGTATACACACAACTATGCCTGTCAAGACAAGAACCATCCTAGTGTCTTAGAAGGCACAGGTCTCGAGTCCTTCGGTGTACTGGAACGAATCTTCAGCCAGTCGAACCACCTTACTCCCGTCATCCGCTATGCGACGGCGTTTAATAGGCGACTGTATATCAATTTGTACTTCACTCAATGGGACGAGGATCGGTACCTTAATCTCGGGCCCAGTCTTTATCGAAGTTACGTTCACACCGTCAAGGCCCTCGACTCCGATAGCGCGGCGCTTTCGCAGGCCAAAGTTTCGCTCGGTATCACTGATGACGACCTCAAGACATGGACTCTAGAGCAAAGCGAGTATCTTAGGAGCGTCGGGCAGGAGTCCGAGTACGATATTCACTGCGTCACGTATGTAGAACTGCTCCAGGAGCTTCGGACTGCCTGGTGAGCCTTTTCCCTTCGCTTTGTTCTCGATCTCCTAACCCCTATCAAGGGAGCAATCGGGGCGACATAAGGACGCGTACATGAACTCGATTCCCGACAACTATACCGTCCCCTCCTCGGTCACTTTCGCCACAACGTCTGCACCTATCAACGATCGCGATGCCGCAGCATCGCAGACGCTCACCCTCGAGTCGGCTATGCGTCACGCAAAAGAGCGATACAACAACCTGCTCTCTGATGTCTTGGCGTTGGAAGAGAAGATGGGTATCTCGAGACGATGGCAGCCTTCTGATGAGGAGTACATCCGCACCGTGCAGTACGTGAGTAAACGCAAGTATCACCGAGCGCTGAACCACCTTCAACGGCTGGTTGTGCTACGGTTACTTGAGTTACACAAACTCAATCTCGGCCGAGCCGGTGGGTTTCTCTTTTGACATATGCGTTGATCACACTGATGACACGATCTCTAGCTTACAGCATGCGTACGCACCTCAGCAAGGCACTTCAATCTCGCTGTAGGGCTGTGCGGAAGGCAGTGGTCGATTATAATGTGGCAGCCAAGGAAGTCGGAAAACCTCAGCTCGACTGGTCAAAGGTATCAAATTACTCCTTTATCGAAGAGTTTACTCTGTTGCAGGATACCCGCGACGACATTCGCTCGAAGCAATGGACCAATCCCGCGGTGCGAGAGGTCATCAAGTTGTCGCAGCGAGTCACGCATGCGGGGGAGGAGATAACGCGACTTAACGTCGAAGTTCAACGACTCTACACGTTCATTCGTGATGAAGAACGTGCTTTCCCGTTCCTCCTTGCCGGGCTCAAGGACACATGCAACCCTATCTACGGCGCCGTTGCAGACTTCCGCGACCGTCGTCGCCGCGTGAACGCTTCCATCATGAATCGCCTTCAAGATATATTTGCTCTGGATAGTTACACAGGATCGCGGGATGCTGGCGTTCGCAAAGGCACCAGCACCACCGCCGCGTTCCCTGAGGTCCCTGCTGTTGCTAGCACCGATAGTGACGAGCCTCCTCTGACGGACGATGTAGATGACGAGCCAGAGCCGGACGATCAGGGGATTGAGGAGACCGGTGGACTTATTGACTATCTCACAAACCTTACTATTGACGAGTTTACTGTTCACGGGTAGTTTTATTATGATTTTTGTAACGGTACTTAGTGTATGAGAACTCTATGCATACTCAAGAGAAGGTTTAATAAGAAAAGAAGAAGTGATGGAAGAAGCGTTGTGTGTGATGCACGCGGTTTGACTGAGACGAAGTGATGTGGAGGTGTGACAGTGTGCGGTGTTTAGTTGTGCACGCGGATGCCGCGAGTTGAGACACTGGTCCCTTATCAAGATACATCAAGCTCCCCTCCTGAGGCCTGATCCCCACTCCTGCAGCTTGTCACCTCTCTTTTTCTCTCCGATTCTCTTGACACATTCTTCTTGCTCTCTCCTCTCTTCTTATCCCTCTCGCTTTGTCTTGCTATCTTGTGCTTTCTTGCTTTGTACATCTCACTTTCACTCGACCTTTTGCCAATGCCTGGCAGGTACTGCTTCATCCTTCGAGGTAACCCCTCTGCTAACGGCTATATTGCCGAGCGTCGAAAGTGAGTAACAAATTATCGCTGTGCGTTGATGCTTACCTAGTGTTGCAGCCGGCCCTTCATCACATCCAGTAACATATCCGCCCCCTTCCCCATCGCAGTCTTCTATCCCGAACACGAGTTCACCAATGCTCTTCACATTGTACAGTCGGTTGCATCGGCCCTCCACAACCCCCGCGCAGACAGGGAGACTGCAATAGCGCTCATAGTGGCTCTCAGGGAACGACGCGAGTTGGATAGCATGGGCCTCTGGACGAGGCAAGGCTTCTATCCGGTGGTGTATGGGAAGCATGTCGGTATATACTTTCTCTGGTGCGTTGCTACTTTCTACTATCCTTCTGGGCTGACTTCACTAGGGATGATGCCGACTCCGAGGTCACTGGCCGCAGCATTCGCCGTTTCCAGCATGTTCGAACGTTCCGCGACGCTCTGGTGTACATGATCACCAAGGGCTTGGTCCCCAACGTGTATGACCTCTTGAGGGACACCAACGTCCCGATCCCCCGCTGCGACATTCCTCCCGACGTGACGCCTGCATACCGTCTTCCAAGGACACCCGCAACATCGAGTGGGGGCACTCCACGCGGTACCCAGTCCTCGACATCCCACACGGAAGGAGGTCGTTCTCGTCAGTCGGCGCACCGTCCCCTGCCTGCCTCACCTCTCCTTTTCACTGTGTCTGCCCCTTGTACACCTGCCGTTCCCCTTCCGCCCGCGGTGGAAGGTCCTTCTTTGCGTCGCTCCAAAGGTACATGCCCAGTTGTGCCCAACGTATCATCAGCTATTGCGAGCACCAGTCGCCAGGGTGTATGGTCTCCACGCGATGATCGTACGTCAATCTATTCACTATCTCGCAACGTCGACACTTACTTTCATTAGCTCGCGAATCTGAGTCGGTTCGGAGTGTACAGAATTGGCTTGAGGCGATGACAGTCAGCAGCCCTCCTTCCTCTACTCTCTCCTCTGTTTCTGCGGGCTCGGAAACGCCTTTCTGCTACCGGCGGACGCTCGCTGGCATAGTTGACACAATGTATGATCCGGCCGAGCTCGAGGAGCAGCTAAGGATGGACCCTCCTTCTGTAGCGGTCATTGGCTCGGCCGCTTACTGCTACTTCACGACTCACGGTTTTCTCCCCGGCGCCATCTGGACTGCTTACAGCGCGTTCAAGGAGACCTGGAGTAAGGCTCACTTCATTGCTGAGCTCGCCAACAAGGGAGCCGCAGAGCTCGAAGCTGCGTATATGTTCGACCTTTTCTCCGGTCGCTGGCAGGAGATTGATGCTGCTGATGAATACGAGCTCGGTGCTGAGGGCGACGAGGATGCATAGGGGCGTTATGTCAAAGGTCTTTTGTCATCATGTTGCTTGGATACAATTACTCATACATTGTGTATTATATTCCCACCATCCGCGCTGTTCGGCTCTGTACGTGTACTTACCGACTATTCATTTTTTTTCACTCTCCACCCAGTCCGCGTCATGCCAGCCCACGGGGACCAGCGATACTCCAAGACTCTGCTCAAGAAAGCCGCGACAGGTACGCGCAAACCCACCTGCCGGCGCTTCGCTGTCTCCCACGTCACGAAGACGCCGAATGAACGCGCCGCTCTCAAGCTGGAGCGACTTACTCGCAGGCACGAGCTCAACGCAGAACTGAAGGCTGCCCAGCTGGAGGTTATGGAGAGAGCCCGGCAGATGCACCAGAAGTACCGACGTCATAGCGTCGGGTGGTATTTCGAGGCAATCTTGCAGCAAGCTCGGGCCGATGGGAAGAAACGCGACTTGAACCCGTGGAACGCGTTTCTGCACGTGAAAACGCGCGAGTTGAACGACGGTAAGTCTGCCTTATCCCTTATCCACCAAAGGTGCATTTACTAACCATTTCATAGCCTTACCACCAGACGCGAAGCGCCTCACAGCGAGCGAACGCTCCGCTGAGCTCAAAGCCCTATGGGCGGAAATTCCCCTGGAAGAGCGCGCCGAGTTTACGAAGGAAATGGTCGATGAGCTCGAGAAGCACCGGCAGAACAAGGAAGACACCGTCCACAACTTCTCCCTCCAGGCGTTCCACGACGCGCAATCCACTCTCGTTGCCTGTGCCGACCAGGTAAGATTTTTAGTAATTTTCTTTTCATTCTACGGGCTAATTCGTTATCCAACAGCTCAACCGCATGGCTGGTCGAACAGATACACGTGTCATGCTAATGGCCGTGCGCAGCGACAACGAACACGTCCTCACCCCTTACTTTTATGCTTCCGACGTCTCCCTCCCCACCTACTTCCACGCCCTCACCCGCTACACCCCACAGGAGTTCCTGTCGAAGCTCGAGTCCTGCACGATCTCAGGTCTCATAGGTAAGCACTCTAGGTCCTCGTCAATTGATATCAGCTGATGTCAGTAACTGTAGGTCTCATTCATAACAGTCGCGATGAATATGTATTATTGAAGAAGCAGGTGGCCCTCTTAATCCTGACGAAGCTCCGCAAGGCCGCCAACTTCCAGTTTACTCGCATGGAGTACGTCCACTTCGACACCGCGGTCACGGAGAAGTTTGGAGTTGTCGTCGTCAACTGGCCCTTCAAGACGTTCGCGTGCTTGTCCTCATATTCAAGTATCCCGGAGCTCAAGGTTCTCCTCAGCGCATGGGAGACGGGCACAACGAGCTTCCACAAGCTATCCCCGCAGGAGTGGAAGGAATGGCTGGCAGAGCAGACAAGGAAGAGAATGGAGGAGGCGAACGGCATGACGAGTGAGTAACAACACTCGTACATCATTATTCGTACTTAGTCGTCACAATAGCCTCTCAGCCCGAGTCATCCTTGTCCGAGTCCTCCTCGCCCGAGCCCTCCCTCACCGAGCCTTCCCCGGCCGCGTCTTCCCCAGCCACGTCCTCCTCGTCCTCGCCGGCTGCGCCTTCCCCACCCGCGCTCCTGCAGCCCTCGGTGTTCTCGCAGTCCGCACCACCGCAGGCTGCCGCTATGCAGAGCACCCGCCCCTCCCCAGCTCGCCTTTCTGCCAGCTCCTTGAGCTCTAGCTCCCCCGCCGTCGAAACTAATGTGCAGTTCATCATGTCCGGCCCCGACGGCAAGGCCATCAAGCAGCCACGCGTCAAGGCCCCTCGCAAGCCTCGAAAGAAGGCGACGGCTTCCGCTACCACCCCGGAAGCTAGCCCCGCTGGCCAGCCAGGCTACAGCCCCGCAAATACCTTTGGCGTTGCTGCGAACATCGGTCAAGTGGCCTCGCCTGTTGACCAACAGGTCTTCAACCTCGTCCCTGCCTTCGGCGGCGAGCAGAACATCGGCTACGGGAGCGCTATGCTCCCTGGCCAGCAGAGCTTTGGCCAATACCTCTCTCCTGCCGGGGAGCAGGGCGTCGGCCTCCAGTTTCTCTCTAACAACCAGCAGACTTACGACTTCATGGACACTGGCTTCGAGTCTTCCCATATGCAATTATACACGATACCTAATGATAATACCTCTGAGACAATCTCTTTAGATCAATCTAGCCCGTTTACTCATAGTTTATAGTATATAGTCTTCCTACTATCTTTGTTATAATTGTAATAGCTACTTGAACATGAAATAGAGGACTTGTTGATAATCCTGACGCGCCTATCACGTGCGTGCGAAACACGCGTTGTTGATGTTGACGCGTCAGCCCGGTTATCGGCCGGCCCTTGCCAACACGTGGAAACCGGGAAAACAGTACCTCCGCGCTTCCCCGCAGTTAATGACATCTTCCCCACGTGTCAAACACAGCCATCCGGCCCTTTTGCCGACGTCGCTCAAAATTTGCACAAGTCCCCTAGCCACGTGGTCCCTTTCTCGCCATGCACCCCTTATAATAGAGTGTATTACCAGCATATATAAGTAAAAACTATTCTAATTGTAATATATAGTACGTAGAAGAAAACCCGACCTTGATACGACCACGGGAAGGGGAGATATACACTGTCATCGTCCCTCCCAGCGGGCGGAGGAGGGCGGGAAGCGTATAAGACGTCGTGAGAGCCCGGCGGGGGTAGTCGGGGCGGCGGGTGGAAGGCGGGAAGGCGGGAACTATGTAATGTACGTGGTTCTGCTGACCGGACATTGCCGACAGGAACAGGGAATGGGAGAAACAC